GACAAAAGACATTCCAGCCCCCGCCTCTGGAGCACAGTTAGGTGAGGACACTGACATGTAACTGATGAGAACAGTGTAGTCATCACTTTAGTGGGGAAATGGACAGATGTGGGGAGCACTGTGCCAGCAGTTCCTAAGTCTGCTGGGGACACTTTGGCTTCCTTTGGCCTGAGACTTGAAGGAAGAGATTTTCCAGGCCAACAAGCATTGGGAGTGGGAAGAAGGGAGGGGGAAGGGGAGAAAGAGAGAGAGAGAGAGAGAGTGTGTGTGTGTGCGTTGGGGTATAGAAGACAGGAAGAGAAGTGTTCCAGGCACAGCAGAGAACATTTGTAGTCAGGGGGTAAAAGGACCTGTCTTATCCTGGGAATTCCCAGTAGTCCTGTTTTGTGTCTCTCCCTTTTTTTTTTTTTTTTTTGAGATGGAGTCTTGCTCTGTCACTCAGGCTGGAGTACAGTGGCGCGATCTTGGCTCACTGCAACCTCCACTTCCAAGGTTCAAGAGATTCTCTTGCCTCAGCCTCCTGAGTAACTGGGATCACAGGCGCCTGACACCACGCCCAGCTAATTTTTGTATTTTTAGTAGAGACAGGGTTTCACCATGTTGGCCAGACCGGTCTTGAGCTCCTGATCTTAAGTGATTCACCCACTGCAGCCTCCCAAAGTGCTGGGATTACAGGGGTGAGCCACTGCACCCGGAAAGTGCAATAATTTTTGAACCCCAAATCAAGATGGCAGAATAACTGAAGTGGCAATTATTCCAAGCTTCCCTGCCTCCCTGCCTAAGGATAGCTAACGAGGGATAAAGAGGTTTTCTTAGGTGCTTTACCTGAATTAACACTTAATCCTTCCAGGAACCTCATGAGGTAACAGCATTACCCCATTTTACAGGGTGAAATTGAGCACCGAGAGGTACCTTGCTTAAGGTAACACTGGGTTGGAATCTCCATGCTACAAAGACGTCCAAGTGCATTTAGTAACCAATTCTACCACGGTCCCTCCTCACCTGCAGGAAAAGAGCATCTAACAAACGGCCAAGGGTTCTGTGAACCTGAGCCTACACCTGAAAAACCCCAAACCAAAAAAGGTCCATTTGTGAAGAGTGGGCATTTGGGAAAGACCCTGCCATCCAAGAACTCAGTTGTGTCCAGCTTACTCGCTAGGAATTCCGCCTCTTCTTCCTGTGTGACCTCGGGCAAATAGGCTCGCCCCTCTGAGCTTCCGTTTTCTCATTAGTAAAATAAGACCTTCCTCCCAAGACCGCGGTGAGGACGAAAATCGACTCGGCGAGCGAGACCCGCTGAGTCGTTAGTACTGGTGCTTTGCCCCGGTCCCCGCCAAACCAAGGAGCCGAGCCCTAGTGGACCCAGCGCTCCGGGGCTGGGGCGGGGAGCGCAGCCTGGGCGAGGCGTGCCACGCCTGGCCGCCGGCATCCTCCACCCCCGCGCCATGGCCGGACGGAGTCACCTGCACGCTGGGCCCTTCCTTCCTCCCAGCGCGCCCGCGGCCCGGGCCCGCCCGCCCTCCGGCCGCCACCGCCCTCCCCTCCCGCGCCGCCCTCCCCTCCC